AATTGGTTACTGCGTTTTTAGCTATAGATGAATATAAGTTTAATTAAGCAAATGTTGAATCCAATTAGAAAAAAAGAGTTCCACAAGTTGATCGAAAGGGGTTCATAAGAGCAACAATACATAAATACAATCTGTATGAATAAAGGAAGTTGTTTTGTTATATTGGTTATTTAACACGAAAACTTAAATGTTTTATAATTCTGTAAAGCGAATGTACTATTGCCTCCTTTGACGCTCATACCTCATCATCATCGGTGACAAGGAGGGCCTCGTTGGCTGTCCCTCCAAAGACACAACAGAGTCTCACTCTACGGGCGAAATCTGCTTTAAGTAGCGAAAAGATTAACCAATTTTCGAGACCCCCGGGGAGGCCGCACATTACTGAAGGACACACGGAACCAACACTGCAATAGATAGTATATTGATAATAACATGTACACTGCGTTATCATACACCAGTGTGCAAAACAAAAATAACGCGATTTCCGAACATCTTAACATTAATCTCATATAAAATATTGAGATTAAGAGCTACGAGACAAACCGATCTCACGTAAATTTTATTAGATTTATTGAATCATATTTAGGTTTATACACGTAGAGGCTCTCAAACCACCGGAAAAAGCCGACTTTGATAATAAGTCTAATAAACATATTTAAGAATAATTTTAAGGCATTTGAGCTAATTAAAGACACAAAAAGATAGCTACATGTTTTTACCCTTATTGACCACTTAAGACTTCACAAAAGTAAAGCGGTTTTTTTTTTATAGTAAGCGCTTTTTCCAATTAACAGTTGGACGCACGTTTTACAATAAATGGAGCATGATATTTGATCTAATAAAAATGTATGTATCCAACATGCAATTTTTCAGGAAAACGAAAACCAATACACCTCGTACCTTTACATCTCGAACCTAATGCCCAGAACCATTTTTAACTTGTTTTCCATGGACTTTATTGAAGGTTAGAAGTTTATGTATGTGAATAGCGAATCTTTAAAACTTACTTTAACTAAGACCAGAAACAAAAAAATGTCACCGCAAAAGCATGCTAAGGTCCCCATAAATGTCAAGTAGCTATATACAAAAATACACGCGTTCCATCACGTCATCGCTATTAAGGAACTTCAACCTTTCCAGTTAATCGCAAGCGGAACGATTATCTATACAGATGCGCTCATCTATATAGGGTCTATTGTGTGTGTACTGATACACATCTGGTTGTTGGAGCGCGATGCTGATACCTCCTGTATATTGGTACTTTCGAGAGGAAAACGAACCGCCATTTTCCGTTGGGTATCATAAACCCATACACTAACGATCATTAGTCAGATGATAAGTTTGGTTCATATATTAGCTAACCACAAGGAGGGCAATCTTAAACGATTAAACACGAAAAAATACTACTATTTAGTTACAAAGAACCCCCATATGTAGTGACAGTGATAATTGTGATTTCATTTCTGTGACAGATGACCATTTATTATTGATGTTTCACTGGGTGATTCATTTGCCCCTTACGGCGTCTTCCGAAACAAAGTCTTTTGACGCCTTACTGTATCGACATACCTTAGCACGAACATTATTTTTGACTATTTATCATATACAAGAGGCCACTGTGCGTCTCTTAGCCACTGACAAATAAACTACATTAAACTTACTTATACTTAAAACTTAGGTTCATCGTAATGCTGCCCCTTATGCAGCCACAGTAACGTCTATTATAATCGAATAATTAAAAAAAGAGCGTCGTATGCATAAGGCTTCCGGTCCAACAGATGGCCGCTTGGCCATTTAGAAACATATATTTATACTTAGGATCTCTACAAGCTGTTTTTGCCGGTACGGCATCCCTCTGTATATGGACCATGTTGTAAATGGTATAGTTTCTTTCTCCATTTAGGTTAAATCATTACAAACCTAAGGGTTCTTAGGTGCTGAAAGAAGTGTGTCGGACATTTGGTCAATTCCACTAGACCGTACCGACCCGCTGAAAGCGCGGAGCTCTTCGTGTAGCAGGGATCATCCAAGATTGTAACCCGAGGCTGTCTATCTGCTTACCAATAATTTCCATTGGTAGTATTACATCTGCTCGTGTTAGTTTATATACTCCTCAAAGTATAGGAGTTCTTCTGATGGGATCTGCCTGCTGCCTTCTAGTCAGCAACGTCCTACCTGGTGGTAAGGAAAAGAAAATGGACCAAAGATATGTGGACGTTGGCCTAATGAGGACAGGTCGTTGGAGTCAAGTTGTTGGATCTATCGTAAGCTGCACTTCAGTAATCCAACATTAGTTTCTATAGTTGTCTAGATAATATCAAAGGCACTTACTACGAGCACCCTACTTGTTACAAATTGTTGACAGACTAGCTTACTTGCTAGCGAACTTGGAAGTAACAGTGTATATATATATATATATTTTTTTTAATATTTGCATATAACTTTTCTATTTGGAGCTGCTTCAGCAAGTTGATATTAACGGTAATAGAGGCTATCCGTGTCCCCATTGGCTTCTGCGCACCTGTAACGCGTATAATATAATGTAGCGATAGGAAATTCCCTTGTCGGGGAGAACTTTGTACGATCGACGCTAAAGGCATGTCGCTCTAAGAACTCGTAGCCGCCGCGAAGTTTGCACGCCAGCAGCGACTGTCAAACCGCACAAATACGAGGGTATATTAGCCATTTATGGCCGTCGTTGACATATCTGCAGAAGACGATCAGTATCCAATTCTCAACATATATATGAAGATGCTATAATACATTCAAACATCGTGAACCGCTACAAAGTTTTGAAAGGGTCCAAAGTTACACAATACTACGCTATCTTTGTTGAATGTACTGCGTCAATGTGGTGACATTACAGCTCACCGGTTCTTCTCTTCAATTCGTGATGTCATGTTTTTCTCCCTAAAAAAAGAAGTTCACCGGTTATTGGCTGTAGTAACACGTGTTCTTTCGTGGTAAATCGATGCGGAGGTTATAACATCTGACCTTATAGAGTTAAACACTTTATTTTCTACTTCGGAATAACATTGGATTTCTAATACACCTATAATAATTGTTGTTGTTGTTGTTTCTGTAAATTGCGTTTATAAGGGAAGTATACCTGATCCCAAGTAGTTACAATGGTGGATCCTATCAGTAAGAAATCACTGGACAGCCCGTTCGCATAAAGGTACAATACGGTAGATGTTTTCAGAATTTCTTCTGAGTTATATTATTTGGTGAATGGCGAACGCGTGTATTTTTGTATATAGCTACTTGACATTTATGGGGACCTTAGCATGCTTTTGCGGTGACATTTTTTTGTTTCTGGTCTTAGTTAAAGTAAGTTTTAAAGATTCGCTATTCACATACATAAACTTCTAACCTTCAATAAAGTCCATGGAAAACAAGTTAAAAATGGTTCTGGGCATTAGGTTCGAGATGTAAAGGTACGAGGTGTATTGGTTTTCGTTTTCCTGAAAAATTGCATGTTGGATACATACATTTTTATTAGATCAAATATCATGCTCCATTTATTGTAAAACGTGCGTCCAACTGTTAATTGGAAAAAGCGCTTACTATAAAAAAAAAACCGCTTTACTTTTGTGAAGTCTTAAGTGGTCAATAAGGGTAAAAACATGTAGCTATCTTTTTGTGTCTTTAATTAGCTCAAATGCCTTAAAATTATTCTTAAATATGTTTATTAGACTTATTATCAAAGTCGGCTTTTTCCGGTGGTTTGAGAGCCTCTACGTGTATAAACCTAAATATGATTCAATAAATCTAATAAAATTTACGTGAGATCGGTTTGTCTCGTAGCTCTTAATCTCAATATTTTATATGAGATTAATGTTAAGATGTTCGGAAATCGCGTTATTTTTGTTTTGCACACTGGTGTATGATAACGCAGTGTACATGTTATTATCAATATACTATCTATTGCAGTGTTGGTTCCGTGTGTCCTTCAGTAATGTGCGGCCTCCCCGGGGGTCTCGAAAATTGGTTAATCTTTTCGCTACTTAAAGCAGATTTCGCCCGTAGAGTGAGACTCTGTTGTGTCTTTGGAGGGACAGCCAACGAGGCCCTCCTTGTCACCGATGATGATGAGGTATGAGCGTCAAAGGAGGCAATAGTACATTCGCTTTACAGAATTATAAAACATTTAAGTTTTCGTGTTAAATAACCAATATAACAAAACAACTTCCTTTATTCATACAGATTGTATTTATGTATTGTTGCTCTTATGAACCCCTTTCGATCAACTTGTGGAACTCTTTTTTTCTAATTGGATTCAACATTTGCTTAATTAAACTTATATTCATCTATAGCTAAAAACGCAGTAACCAATTCCACCTTTTAAATGGAAAATACTTAAATAAATTTCGTAATTAAAAATGAACTTTGGAACTAAATAAACCTGACATGCATGGCCTACATAGAAGACGCGGACTGAAATTGTCTTCAGCGACATTAATGCGTAGTGTTTTGGTATAACACAAACACTGAATGTGTGTGCTATTTCTTTCAGGTGTGGGCTCTTGGAAGCAATGTATCTGGGTGCCTAGGAATTGGTGATACTCGCACAGCATTAAATCCTGTCAAGGTTAGTATTCGGCACTATTTGAAAGTTAGCTAACTTGTTTCAAGATACGAACTACACAAATACAAGGTTCGTTTGCAGAATGATAGTACATATTACATGTTGTATCGTACAAATGCTCATAAGCATGTAAAATAAAGCATATATATATATATATATATATATATATATGTATATATATATATATATATATATTATATGCTAGTAACGGCATATGAAGTAGTATATGAAGTAACGGCAATGTTACCATGTTTACTAACATCTGACGGTAAGGATACTAGGCCTTCTTATTATAACCATGGTTAAGCAGGTCTATAAATTATTCAGTTGTATGTAACGCTGGCCTTAGTAATTATTGCAGCAGTTGCCTAGGTTTTCGGACATGGGAGTTCCGGCAATTATTTTTTTTTCAATAACTATTTTCAGGTAGAAGCCATTTGCAATAAGAACGTTCGATCCTTTGCGTATGGATCGGGGCCTCATGTACTCGCTCTGACGGCCCAAGGCGATGTTTATGGTTGGGGTCATAGTGGCTATGCTCAGATCGGAAATGGCCAAATCTCAGGTTCGTCAGTGTTGCTATAAAAATCTGCGTAAAACGTATTCACCAAAATCCTAAGTTAACGAATGTGATTTCAGTGGGCCTTTATATTACTTAATATGTTTTATCCGAAAAAGTTGCATTCATCGAGAGTCTCGAAGTATTGTCCTCCGAATGAGATAGAGTCACAAGTTATCACGATCTTTTTAGATCCACACTAGACTGGTTTTATCTTAGCTTCCAAATTTGCATTCAACGACTGGCTTATTTGGGCTATCGTAATATAAATAAGGATGTAATAAATATGCTTATTCATTATTAATAAATAAAAATAAAAGTAAAACATGTCTTACAAATGCAGGTAAACTCGCCCGTATTGATGTCAAACAATATCCCGAATCCAGTGGCAGAGGTGGCGTGTGGAAGCTTCCATTCGACTGCCAGAACGATTAGTGGAGAGGTGCGTAACTATGCACTAAGCTGAGCTTTCACTCAGTTGAAAGATGAAGTTTTGTTTATGTACTTTTAAGTCTCAACTGCCCGAATTCTTGCACGAGCGTGCAGGTGTCTTGACAATACACGCAGGTCTTAGTTTTGAATTATTGAAGTGGAGGTACCGCATATTAACACGAATAAATGTAATGATTGAATCCTAGAATATGTCAACATTGAATAAAATATAATACATCGTATTTAACTTTCAGGTCTATTCGTGGGGTCAAAACAATTGTGGGCAACTAGATGTCGGAACTACATCTTCAAATCAGCACAATCCAAGAAAGGTCTGTGTAAAACTCTTATTACCAGATTAAGTATTAAGATCTCGGCCTTTATCATGTTCACAAGTGTATCTATTCCCTACACTGATATTTCTAGTAAATATAATTCATTGCCTGGGAATCGCCTGCGGACAGACATCAACAGTAGCTGTTTCCGAAAACGGTGAAATTTACGCTTGGGGTCTTAATGGTAATTATCTTTAGTTACAAAGTGGCAACGATGGGGATAGTTGGGTACCCAACGCGTCGACATATCTTTCACAGTAGTCATTGATAAGTCTCTTATGGTAATATAAATGTTGACTGCTTCGTGTGTATATATGCACAAAAGAATAGGCACTACTAAGTACGCAGTAACTGATTGTTGCCTTGCATATTATTACAAATATGTTGATCTAATGCTATTTTCATCGTTTTCTTTGAATTGTGTTGAATGTAATTTTAGGTTCTGGTCAGTTGGGGCTTGAAAATAATGTCAACCCAATGTTACCCGCTAAAATTGATGGCCTTAAAAATGTCACAATTCAAAAGGTATCAAAGATTATATACGGTAAAGTCTGATATTTAGTTTAAGTGCTTAAATCATATAATTATTTATTATCTCGAATGTTCTGTTCGCAACGGGTAGGTACCATCAGTCAAAGTTTAGTTCGCTTCGTTAGGAACTAATGTTCACGCCATTCCTTAGAAAGTAAATACATGTTTTTATGCTCTTATGCATTTCATTTGTAGATATTAATAGTAGCAAATTTGACTAATAATAACAGGTTGAAAGGTACTAAAATACACATGTAAATTGTTGATACGCTCAGGTTGTTTGCGGATTCGCGCATACAATGGCCCTCTCAGATGAGGGTACACTATACGTATGGGGAGCAAACTCTTACGGTCAACTCGGACTTGGTAACAAGGCTAACCAGGTATAATATTAATCTGCTTTCCCAATTTTTAAAGATCGGTTTTTCATATCGGCCTAATTTGACTTGAGAAATATGAAATTCTTTCTCGGTTCTAAAAAAAATATATTGGAATCTTGTGTGTACTCCTCTACAGGTAAATCCTGTCCGTATGAAGACAGACCAAAGTCGAATCATCGATGTGGCTGCGTCGCACTACACACAGATTTCCGCAGCCCTCACTGAAACTTCAAAGGTATTTAGTCATCGTTACAATTATATTTAGAGGAACCATTTTCAAAAACGATAATATTATACTTAGTTTTGTCATCTAATATAAATTAAATGTATGTATGCATCTGCCATCTCAAAACGGTTCTAGCAATTTCTATGCGTCGGTTTAACTTGAGTTCAGACTTAAAAACGCAAAAACTTTCCCAAAACTAATAGGGACGAGAATATAATGTTGTTGAGGAGTTGTGAAACATACCTATCGGAGTTACTTACCGAATAGGCTAACGAGAAAAGTGGCGGGTTAACTAGAGCATACTAACACCATTTGCATACATTGGTAGGTATTAATGTGGGGTCATTGTCGGGGTCAAGCAGTGACAGAGCCTATCGTTACGCCGTTCAAATCACTCCATGATGTCTTCGCTGCATTTTCTTCGGTGGCAATCACACAACTGCCTATGGTTGTTGGTCACAGGTAGAACAGACGTTTTCGAGGATTACCCCATCATCAACGAATTACGCATGCTTTTACCTTTCAATGAAATGTAATAAGTTATCAAAAATCAAAATTATATCTCTCAGAGCTTAATTCGACTGTTTTTCCATTTCGAAAGTTTTCCAAATTCCTAAAAATTACGATTCGATATGAGTCAAGATAACTTCTCTAGTTATCTTGTAAAGTGGCTGTAGTTAGTTTTTCTGTTATATGTTTATACTTAACAATCACATAAGCATTATTTGTCCAGGTGGGAACGCTGTCTTACGGGCATCCTGCGCCAACAATTCAACGATCCGACCCATTCGGACATCAAATTTGTGGTAGAAGGAAAAATGATTTATGTTCACAAGACAATACTCAAATTTAGATGCGAGGATTTCAGTACGATGTTCCAGGTACAGCGAAAATTCTAAAAAATTCATTCCTTAGAGTATCTGGGAAATAACTTGGTAACTGTATAATGTAATAACTGGCTACCAAGGTTGTAAGATGGATGTGCTAACGGGCTTTCGACATATTTAAAAGAAGATCGAAATACGAAAGGAGATAGTAATTGTATCAATAAGAGGCAATGTAACGATATATCTCAGCTCCAACAAACGAGGGAATAGGCTTTTCATCTATTTCTTCGTCTCACCTCAACTTTAACTGTAAACTCACTGCAATTTTTTATGACTTCAAATCCACTTAATTTCCAGAATAAGTTCACTTTAGGCCATCTTGCGGTCGAGTTAATATTAACTACTAACCGTACTATTGCTTTTTTAGGACCATTGGGCGGAGAATCAAAAAGATACCATAAAAATCGAGCAGTTCAGCCATCAGGTCTACAAAGCATTCCTTGAGTATCTCTACACGGGAGAGGTGGCTCTTTCACTAGAAGGTGCCATTGGCCTTCTGGATTTTGCCAACGCATATTGTGAGATTGGTCTCAAGGTAGGAACATGACTAAGGGTGTGATTACTTCTTAACCAAGTGTTTGTATTAGTGCGTTGTTGTTTTAAGGTGCGTCATAGGTTTCATTGACCGACATAGTTAGTCTAACTTTTCCATAAGCGAGTTCAAATGTAAATTCGATGTACTATTACTTTCATGGAAATTGAGTAAAAACAATAAAGCTGACAGATAGATATTTACAGGTGTTTCACAATGTAATGACACAAACCAGCAAGTGAACTCGGTGACGATAATTGGCTGTAACGTCACCAAGTAGTGATGGTGTTTCTAAGTGGGGCCTCGTTACCATCATAGTCGTCTAAGATGCTTAACTAGCTGCTACAGTCGAATCGAATTATAGAATTAAGTAATTTCTCGCTAGTAATTTACGAAACATATACTAACGTTGTTAATAAAGCTATGGCTAGCATTGGTAGGTAGAAAAACGGAATATAACAGTCTTTCACAATCCCGTTGCAAAATACCATTAACAGCTACCACTTCATAATTGTGTTTATATCGGTAAAATCAGAATTATATTTGATTTTGTCGCCAGGACCTAGTTTTGGTATAAAAAACGCAACACATAGTACAATTTAACCTTATACTGATGCCTATTGAATTTATAGAGATACACGTTGGAAGTCTACCGCATGTAGCGTACCTATAAGGGTACAACTTCTATTTTCAAATCTTTATTGTAGTAGTCAAAACTGGAATTTTGTACCGTTATATTTGCTGATTCCAGGTGCACTGCCATAATATAATAGAAAATGGCATTCTTGTAGAAAATTGCGCTTTGCGATATGCCGCCGCTATAAAATACGAGGCCAAGGAACTTGAGGACTTCTGTTTTAGGTGAGATGTTTCCTTGTCCACTATAAGCATATTTTCCCCGGGTGAAGTGCTTGGTTCTTCTTTTTCGTTTATTACAGGTTTATCAAGTTTATTATATCGTTCATTGTGACAAAAGCATGGGAAGAAATCGATTTGAGTACTTAACAGATGGCGGCATATACAATTACTCGTTATGCAGGATTGTATGTGGACGGATTCTCACATCTCCTGTACTTATTGTTGTAGGTTATAAGGTAGTAAGGTTTTTATTGTTTATTAATTCTTTTAGGTTTGCGATGAATCATACGACAGCGGTGGTGCAAATCGAGGCGTTTAGCAAACTGGATGACGGAACTTTAAAGGATTTTATTGTTAAAGCGGCAAAATATGGCGCGTTCCGGCATTGACCAGATCGAGATCGAATAGAATGTTCAGAAACTGACACAAGGAAGCAACGCGTGCGAGGTGGCCTGGTACTGCTTTTTGTAGACACGAGGATGACTTACGATGCAGACTGTATCGAAAATGTCTGTTGTACCAATTGAGTGAAATACTCATGAAGAACTTACAGTTAGAGTTACAGTTAGAGTTACAGCTATACAAATAACAGGAGAAGCCTTCTGTCGGAATCTGTGGGGTGAAACCTTTTCTGATGTTCTAGAGTCATGGCAGAACTGCTTTTTGTAAATGTAATCACTCAGGGGGTTCAAGGATTTCTATGGTAAAGATAACAATCCATAATATATACAGCTGAGGTCAAAAAATATATTTTAATCTTGCTGGCCTGACTGCAGGCAATCGAGTGAAATAAGAATGTTGTTTCACATCGCTTCGATAGCTAAACTCGAATGTGATACATCGACTTTGACTGAAAATAAATTGTGAAATAAATGGTTTATGCAATGGATATGGATATAGATTTATAGGTAATACAGGACAAGCGATATGTTATACATATTCATACACAAAAAGACCTGAGCCCGCTAGTCTTACTTCGAATATGTACAAGCCATTAAATGAAACGCTATGAATAATTATGTCAGCCGATGTAAATACTAAGTAGCTTACAAGTAAACATACTCGTTTTTTAATAAGAGAACAACAAAGTTTTTCGTTAGCTTTACATTAAAATTTCAATTTAGGATAACCAACATCTTTACTACTGGCGAAATTCCGTAAGCGTTGTTAGCTTCTGCAAATAATAACAGTAAAAACGGCACTTTATGCTTCGGGTAGGGAGAAGCTTGTTGCAGGTCGTTCTGAAAAAAGACGCCGGAAAACAGAGGTAGTTGCCTGATGAACCGTGAAACGCTCCTCCAGGGTGCCGCCTACGAAATTTCGGTAATATGGAAAGTTAGTGTTTGTCTTGCATGCATCGACTTGTAATTGCACTTGCGGTATCTGGTATTGATAGCGATTCCATCGCTCGTCAAATTACTTTACCAGGTGTTCCATATTCGCTGTGAGTCAACGCGAAAAGTTGAGGCAGAGTTGGAGCGTCTAAAACTAGCAGTCGTCGTATTGTAGCATGGAATCTGTTGCACCAACTGGTTCTATGTTCATAAGACAAATGCTCATAACGAAGAAGCTCTTCCAATAGTTCCTTCTAATTAGTAGACAGGAGTGACCTTCATACAATTTTTTTGCTAGCTTGTAGTAAAAGCACTGTACTGGTTCAGCACAATATTTTTAATACATACTACCTAACGAATAACTAATCAGGGAAAACTCAGAGAACTGTGTAAATTTATCTAGCGTACAAACAATCCATGCGTAAGATAATTCGGCAAATCGTAAAGAGAAAAAGTAAATTTTGATTTTGAAAAAAATAAACCGTGTACTGACGTATTTATTTATCAGCCTTAGCCTTTCTCCAGTTAAAAGAAAACAACTGCATCAAATTAGCCTTTTTCATAACGTAACGCTAGACTATGCTTCTCAATGAAACGACCGAGTAAAAATACCCATGCAACATCCTCGTATTTCTTGCCGCAGACAGCTTCATTGAGTCATCATTAACATTCTTGTTAATATCTACTGTAGCTACCATATTCTATTTTCTTTACAGTCCGACATCTAAATAACAATTCAGCCTAATATCTTTTTGTCTCTTTACTGTCTCCTGGCAGTTCCTTTAAGAATAAGCTAAATCTTCCAATTTATAAACGTCTTTGTCACTTCTAAAGTAGTTCGCAAGTTCGTTAACTTCAACAGAAACTGGTAATTTTATAAATTAATGTAACAATATGCGAGCCTATCATAACCTCCTACGCCCGTTCCGCAACATGTAATTGGTTAACCTTAACCGCAAGATTCACACGTAAACTGACTTCCCTGTTCTGGCAGAATCTTAGCCTACGCTGACATGAATATTCCGGCTCGCTGAAATTAAAAAAATGGGTTACTTAGGGTTTATAACTCTAAAATTCGTAATTCACAGCAGATTAATTACACATGTTCGAGGATTCATAGGCAAACTGCATTCTTAGCAGCGATCACTTCAGTGCCGCGACTTATACAATGTATACGAAGCATACGCAAGGACTAAGCTAAAATTAATTCTGCTTTTCACGTTTCTCACATTCCAGAAATTCGAACCTTACCTTAAAGTAAATACCACAAAGCTTTGTAAAACATAAGATAGAAACCTTGGCGGAACAGGAAGACCACACTTTTTAAGCCAACATGCGTGCATTTTCGTCATCCGTGGTCGGTTCAAGCAAGGTCTTCATGAAGCCTGCCACAGAAGTACAACAAAGCAGACGCTTATTACATCAGCTTCAGTAAACCGGCGGTATAAGCCATCGATCATAAATTTTACAGAAATTCGCATATGCAAAATTTCGTTTGGGCTGCGATTTCAGCAGTGACTCGTAAGTCCAAGAACAGCAACTATTATATATCTACAACCAAAATTGTCAGACTCATTGCCGTTTTCTAGTTCGTTGCAAGTTTAGTGTAATCTTACTAGTTACCATTATAATTACCAAGCAATTGCATCGTTCAAGCGTGCTCTTCGAGGGAATTTAGTACATCGAAATTAATCAAAAATGGAACACGGTATCGCAATCATTTTTTCTGCAGCTCTTCCGTAGTAGCGTGGATATGCACAGCGGAGTACGGATGCCCTCTTTGTTCCACAGTGTGTTATTCACTATTACCAAAACCAAAACAACGTTCAAATCCGAAATTTCCACCTTATGGCCGCTGGTTGCACTCATCACACCGACAGACGCAAGTGGGAATTGTTCCGTTAATTTGCAAAGCCTGTTGAACAAGATCTACTAGAACAGATAACTTTTGCATTTGTGACTCGACAACGTTAATGCTCGACATATCGTTATCATGTAACGCTTCAACGTGTGCACGGGGTAGTAAATGCGACGAAACTGCTTGCAGATGCATTGCGGGAGCTATGACAGTCGCTACGGTAGCTGTAGCTGTTGCATTCCTAAAAAGAGCAAATTATAATGCATTACTATGAAATCCAATGTTTAAAAACATAAATTACGTGACATTTTATGCCAAACATGGCATAACCGCAGCAAGCAGTCAAGATATTTAAAGTACCTTTGTGTCTAACCTTAGTAACTACGCGGGTTCTTTTCAACGCTGCAACTTGACTGAGACTAATCCCTATAATACAACGTGTCTCGCGTAAGAATACGGCAGCGACGTTATATGTTCAAAATAACTACTACCCTGTTGCAGGTCATAAACCGTTACGGGGAAATTGGCTTTTATTACATCTGGCGTAAAAAAACTCATTAGGTTGTATAAATGGCATAGATCAACGTTGTGAAATAGACGTCCAGTTGCATTATAAAGGTGCAAGATGTGCCCTGTCCATATAGACAGCTATGGCTGCCTATAAGGGAAAAAACCAGAGTGATCAAATACCTCTTTCTGATTAGCACACTCTTTTTACATCGGATTATGTCTCGATCGGATTAAAGTAATTAAAATGTTTGTCTAAGTGCTTGAGTTTCGCAATCGCCAGTGATAATTAAAGAACCAACACGTATAGGCAAAAAAACCCGAGCTTCAACGTTCAGGCGAACCCTCAGGAAAAAGCAAAGAACCTATATTTTTTAAGCAGAATGAGTTACCTCAAAGCCTATAATCTATCAGAGTTGCCTGGGAGGTTTGCGTGTGTATATGCATGCCGTTTACTTTAACGAATTAAAACCCACCAACCTACACAAAAAACGTTTGGTGACCCTGTTTAGAGAATTATCTGCCCAGTCCTTGCATTGTTCTAATAATTCCCCCTTTTGTACTGAAAGTTTGTTTTTTTTTACTCAAAAAGTACTCTCGTTTATAAATAATTTCCATAATACTGCAGTACATGCTTTAATCATGTATGATTATAGGAATGCTTTCGCCCATCATTAAGAAGGTCATCTATTATTATTCTTATTAACTTTGACGTTTTCTGATACAAGATACTACATGACTACAAGATAATGAAAAATGAATTCGCTAGCCCGGGCACCGTATTGAACTGACTACCTGACCTAGAATGTACCAGCTATTGCTGCCATGCATTATTTAAGCACTTTTAGACGTCCTCCAAATTAACACTAACTAAGTTGCATCCTTTCTATAATACGCACGATTTTAGAATGAATATTTTATATAAATGATCATTCATAGGCATCCTTAGCGTTGAACAGTTGAGTTTGTTAGCAGGGACAGGCTCAGGTTGAAAAACGCCTGTACCTGTAGTACAGTGGTAGCTAGTAGTAATAGCAGTACTAATAGTATTTTCTGGCGCTAATTTTTCTAGAAGTGTCGGTGATAAGGCATTGTGAAGCCAGTTGCTGACATATACTATTTTATTGGGTTCGCCGTCCGAACATATTGAAGGCGCCGAGACAGGTGGGGGGCTTTCTATCCAGTGACACAGCGCTTCGGACTTACATTGGATTGTGGAATTAAATTTGGCACTCCAAATGGGTACTTTCGTATGTGTGTTCTCACAACCAACAGAAGTCACTGCGACGGTCGATTTTCCTACTGAAACAAAATTAAGCACTATTTTATTGTGACTTGAAACACTGCAGGCAAATCTGATTATTCCAACAAAATCAGATCGTTAGTTAGCCATGTAGAGCTACTAAGGATAATTATTATCAATCGATCAGAGATGCAAATACTTTTTTTTTTTTTACAAGTATTGTAGTTACGAATCCCTTGGATCTGACCCACAATACTAGTACTGAACAACAACAAAACGTACAAGGCAAAGTAAAAAGCCAGTTGGTACACTGATTGTAGTGATTCCGCGAGCTACGATACTCGTGCTCTAACACGAAGCTGGAGAAGCTATCCATACTGTAGCCACTTTGTATATTTTTAATTTTACATTAAAAAGCTTAAAATAAACAATATAGATATAAAATATCAGTCCTTGCAAAAGTCATTCAGCTAGTTATCACGCTCGTAACACTAGCCGTCAAAATCTCCGTAGGCCTGCATAATATTCATCAGTTTACGTGTTAGATTGGGCGTAAGATTTAAGCGCACGTTTAAGGTTTCGATGTTGTCCGGCTAAATGTTCACTTGGTCTAGAAAAAAATACTAAGGAAATACGGATTATACGAAGATTACATCAGCTAATGTTGTCTCACCCGTAACTAGTAGAACCAATTTTTAAAATAATGGGGGGATAAAGTCAAAAAAAAATTGAAGCTCTACCTACCAGAACGAAATATAAATTATGCTGCTAACCGGGTTTGAGTTACTGCTGCATATAATGTCATACAATGGCCCATCTAATTTTCGAGCTAATTACCTTAGCACTAGGCTTCAAGACATGGGAGCCCCAATCAGATGCCCTCGTTGAGAGCCATTAGTTAATTACCGTATCAAAAGTCCTGTTCGAAGGGCTGAAACGTCACTTCCGTGACCTTTGCCCGAATTGTGTGCATAAGTTTTATTTTATTATCGTTTTTCCTACCTATAGTTTCCTATAGATTGTTCATTCAACAATTTCATTCTTCATAATAGGGACGCTTGGAACTCGTCTCGCTCAGTACCTAACTTGGCTGTTGTCTCCACCAGTGCCTAACGTGCTTCAAAAACCCAGTGTAGATTTCCAGAGTCTAGACGAAAAACATTTGTTTCACGTTATCCTCAAGTTACATGACAAATAATGAATAAAATAGAGGGTCGGGTACATCTAGATATACAATATCTAGGTAAGCAAGGTTATCGGAAAATTGTACGTGCACCCGAAAATGTTCTAAAAATGTATCTTTGAAATGTAGAATGCCTTAAGTAAATATGGTAGTGATAATTGTTAATAACTGTTTTTTCTACGCAAATCTGAATTGTGCGTCTCAGTGAAACCTCTGAATTGTTGATTTGTTCCAGCTATTATTCAGCTGATGATTGCTAAAATAATAATCTGAACTGACCAAATTACGTCTGTTTTTATCTGCTGTCAGGCAGTTGCTCGATTGGGTTACATTAGCAAGTGGTTGAACGCACCATAAAAAATCTTCGCAGAAGGCAGGCTTGGCTGTTTCAGCATTGGAGCTTGAGTCACACTACCTCGTGTAGGTGAGTACCGATTTGATTTACCTCCAGCAGGGTAAACCCAGCCTAAAACACAAATTGTGATGTGATTATTTATGGGATTTCGCACCTACTCGTCGATCCACAACACCTTGGATACAGTGTGGATTTTACCCTTTTCATTTTAGCACTCATTACCTGAACTTTCTAGAATATTCACCTGTCTTTTATTCCCTAGTACCCATTACGTACTATCCAATAGAAGCTCACGATCTTCTAGTCTACTCTTCGATTTCTGGTGTCAGCATAGTTTCTAAACACAACTACGTTCGACTGCTCATTTCCGTTTTAGTACCCACGCACTCATCAACTGTGTTTGCGAAACTATTCAATTAGAGAATATTCATTTTAATAACAGCATAAGTTACCTGTCTGGGTCGAATTCTTTTGCAACGAGCTTGAAATGGAAATCTTTGAAGGGGATTTATATGGAATACCAACTTGGAATGGTTGACAATCGCCCGCACTTACGGAGCTACTCTCTACAGCAGCTACTGGTGTCCTATCTAACACCTGGATATTATTGGTTTCTTGCGAAGTCCGTCTGCGTTGTGTTAACGGCATTGCTTCCCACCTAGCAGCTGTGGATGCTGTTTGAGTTTCACTATTATTCCACCCTGTCGAGAACTTCCGAATCAGGAAACAGAACCAGTTACCAACTAAAACCACAAAGATTTACTTGCTTGTGGTTTTTGATCATGGTGGGCGAACTGCATTGGTAGTTATCGAAAAAAAAAAAACTAACCAAAAATCGAGTAGCTGCTGCATTAGCCTAAAATCACTAAAAACTGTCCGGTTGGATTACTGTTGAATGTCGATCGCAGTTATTAGACAAAGGCTTACTTACACAAGGCTGTTCTTTTAAGTATTTGCACAAAGCTGATAGAAAAAAAATAGCTATTAAGTGACGGTTGACGAGTGCGTTTAGAACGTATCGCTTAGCTTTATTTATAGCAGCAGCTTATTAACTTTACCACAACTAAGCTTTGTTTCTTATTACGTTCAATATAATAATAATAATAAGATATTCAAACTAAAAGATTGCTCTTTGGTTCTACATCAGCTGGCTGAACAAACCAGGTTCTTTAAGCCTATTATCCTCATACTACATTATATGGTAAGCTGTTACGAACTTATGAAGAGGTTTCCTTTAAATAGTATTAATGAGAACTTCGAGAGGGAGGGCATTATTTCGATAGAGCCCGGAGCATTGTATGGGCATTACTTATAGTGATAAAAAATCTCGCGGGCATATAAAGAGGTTTCTTTTTTGTATTCACCTTGTTGTTGTTGTTGTTGTTAGTCGAAGTAATGAACTGGAGGGAGGCATGCTGCGTCTGTATTTGGTGGCTATCGTTGCTAGTACTGCTGTTCGTACTGATTTGATGTTCTGGCGGTTGTCGAGGCGACTGGCCCCAACCCCTCACGACAGGGCCTTCACCAACACCCCAATATTCACCTGATTCGTTTCCCTCAACTGTGACATCCGAACTGATGAAACCTTTTATTTGTCGTAACAAATTTGCAACGGCAGCTTTACTCATGGGAGAGGTTGAGCCGTTTTCAGTTGATGTCCAGCTCTTGTTTAGGGTATAAGTAGTTTTTGAGCTGCTTTTTTGATCTGACATATGCCTAGGATTGTCGCTATTTCGACTCCAAGTACAGTCACCAGATTCTGCGAGGGCCAGCAGTTCCTGACTAGACCTGAAAAATCAACACGTATAAACTACCCACTTCAGACCTTCTTCAACGCAATCGCGAGTAACAGCGATGTGCTGTAGTACTACCGATAAGCAACAAACACGATGTCACTTAAGCTAGAATCATATCGTCGGTTAGCAGCATATAGCCTTTGGCGGTCAAAAAACGGTGGCCAATACTGGTTGTAGGAGTAATTGTATTTTACCATAGTGGTATAGCATTCCAACATGTAGCACAACAGGAAAAAAATACTTTCACTGGAATCCTGTGGCAATTCATAGCGTCAAATTTATTCCAGCTCACGCAGTCGTAAGTTGCTATTTCTAACATTATTAAATACTCAAAAAACCAACGTAAGTATGAACGTTTAATAATCGTGTAAGAGATCGATAAAAAGCAGAAGTTTTGCATTGCATGATGCTGCTATTGTGACGGTGGTAGAACATAACTTGTTAGCAAAGGGACGCGCAAACATGGCTGCAGATTATCTTAATGAATAGAATAGTTGTTTTCACTGCTGTTAGGCACAGATGTTTAATATCGTCATACCACTGAACAGCACGGGCATGATAAAGGCGCACAGAACTCCGAAGACTGGCAACGCTGCATTGACGCCGATTTTAAATATACTGAATGCGAGAGAAAGGCCAAAATTACATAAACACCCCTGCCATATCCTTGAATGAGCAATTCATTATGTTTGATGCAAGAAATATGAATACGTTGATTAAGTTTTCTCACTGGCAGGTTTCGGAATAAAAAAGTAAAACTCAATAAAGTTTTAAATATTTATAAAGCTAAACTCCGGTGTATGGACCTCACACTGAAAAAGCTGCAAACTGCTTACGCTCACCAGTAGCTGAAACAACACTTACACAAGGCAGCTTTACCTGAATCTAAAATTGTTTAGAGTTTGAAAATCAATCAAAAAAGCTTGGCGAAGACTGCGTACATTGTTGGGCAGATTGTGGCCTGTCTTCCTTCAGATACGTTGATCTGCCAAAGCGATAACGCGAGAGGTGTTCGCTAATCGACTTTTCTTTCGTTTTCAATATTCCGCAAGCAACGTCAGTCTCCGCCGACTGCCTTGACACCTAACCCTATGACTATTAAGAGAATATAGATCCACATGCGCTTGCAAAATGCCACTCGAATATCTAGCACACTCAATGGCGATCACCTCTCGACTTTGTCAAATCAGTAACGAAATTCTAATAACAAATCGATTGCCTCCAAGTCATGCTTTAACGGCTGAAACGCAGGCGATATACAATAACTAGTATAAATTAATAGAACAAAATTCCAAGTCGAATCAAAAAAATCACGAATGAAGTCTTATTTGATGACCTTCTCTGTTGCGATAAGCACACTGCCACGTTGAGCAGACGACAGAGTTACTGTTCTATTATATACGCGGTAGTCAAGTTTTGAACTGCGATGACGAATGACGGGTGAGCTGTTGGTGGAAAGTTACTAGCTGAATATTTCGTCTTGGTAGCTCATGCAATATGGTGACCTCTAGCGTACTTTAGGTGCATCTTTTATTCGAACGACACATGGTACCATTCGTTCAGACGTATGTTTGCTGGCGGCAGTTTCTTTTTCGAGGCTTTCCTACTAAATTGATTTTGCCCATACACGTGAACTTACTTGGAAAACAACTGACTATAAAAGAAAATCGCAACGGCCTGAATTAAAGTTAGGTTTCAGTTGCACGAGCTTTATGTCTCCTGTGAGACACTATGAGTCACGTGTATTGTCCCGTATAAACAGTTGAAGCACATCTGCTAGGTAGAATTTCTTAACGAAGGATGACAGGCCTATTCCGGTACAGTTGGTAGGTTTGACATTAAAAAACCACGGTGCCACCCGGAAGTTCATCAATGGTGTCTTGCCAGATATTCTATCAAAGAGGAAACCTAAAGAACTGCTTTGATTTTATAACGGCTTAATTTAATTATCATTTGACGAAGAGACTACGGCTAGGTACTGTGCGCTCTCTTTACTCACTTAAACTTTATCAACTTTGTTGACGATTTGGATTGAGAATTAAGCATGGCTGATTATTGAGGTTTTGTGGTTTTACTACAAGCTAAAGCAATGTCTGGGTTTTTCGCAGTTATAATTAGAAACAAAAAAGAAGAGATTTTTTTACCTAGTTTTGTATTATTTCCAAAGCAGCTTGGAAACATACAGCGACATAAGTAAGTTCCTACGTTAGTAGCGCTGACAAGCTCCGCTGCGGGGGGCCTCTAAACCGACAGATATAGTAATGCAATTTCGAAGGCGCACGGATTGATAAGCAAGTACATTTAATCTTCTGGGGGCCATTCAACTGCTTGTCAGCTCGCTTAGGGCCTAGTCTACAGAGCACTATGTTGTCCCGGGGCTATTTATAGGGTAGCTATATACTTGAATACCCAGGACAGTATTCGTAAAGGCCAAAAGTTTCAAGAACATTAAGAAGAGAGCTTTTATTTAAAACTAAAATACAATTACATAAGGACTCGTAACGAATACAAAAATGATTCAATCAAAATGTACTCTAGAGAGAGAGAGAGAGTAAAAAAGATATAGATATACGTATATGCCACTATTGCGACAACAGGGAAAAACATAACAAGCGTTGTCTTACGATGGTATATTCTATTGCGAAGGACCTGTCAGATCGTCAGCAAGTAAAGAGCAATTTTGCGTGGATAGACGATATTATATACTTTTCTTAGTGAAAAGTATCTTCGACGTTGTATTTAATTCGGAGTCTTTTGGTGCCGCCCTCTGTACAAGCCTTCAGAATGATATTAGGATATATTATATTTCAAAGATGGCACCGGATTGCCATAAATAGGTCTACTATTTATTTGAGCACATCTCCTATCATGAAGCTGCCCCTAGAATGTGGTCTGACAGCAGAAGTTGACGAAGTTGGATCAGTCTTATTTGGGAACGCTTGGAGAAATGGGTGAGGTACGGTCGATGCCGCGGAAAGAAGCCTTTTTACCGACAAATATAAAAAACCATACCCAGATTTATTATTTTGAGTTACTTTGTGGGTCTGAACTAAACCAAAGATTTCACTGTTGCGTTAGAAGAGGTCAAAAACCCACGTCTACGTGTAGCCGCAGCCCATCAGGGAGTTCGTTTTCTAAGGTCTATGGAAAAAAAGTCTAAGGAAATCTAAAACGTGCGAAATCTGAAGTTGCGTTTCCTCTGCTTTCAGCGACCATTTGAGTTTTAAAAAATGTATTACCAGGATGGGGTCTATAATAGGTCTCCGGGAGAACCTAGAGGGTAACGTACGTACATGTTAATCCTGGGGACAAATTGTTGTCTGGGTTTGAACTCGAGCATAGACAGACAGACAGACGGTTCGTTTCGTGCTGGGAGCCAGATGCTTGCCTAATGGAATGCCAAACAGCGATACCTGGCGTAAAACTCGAAACATAGAGCGCTTTACGATAGAGATCGCTATAGAAAATGCAGAAGCGCTGCTTTTTATCGTTACTTTCTTGCAAGTGATACTTTCCATCGTTTATCCTAATTACCTGCATCGACCGCTTCCGTACTTTAGTAGTGAAAATTAAAAGTGTTGATTATACTAATTTGCCGTATAAATGTGTCTATATAAGTATTTAACATAAATTCCGTGCTTCTTTCTTTTTTTACATGTTGTTGCGAAGTTCGTTTTAGTGACATTGTGCAGTAAACGGAGTGGTAGCTCCAAATACAGAGGTTTTACGAAAAAAAAATGTATTTTCGACTATGTTTACCTTGCCTTTTGCTAAGGCTGAAGCCAGGGATAGTTGTGCTGCGTACTGTGGAAGCTCCTTGCTCAAGAGTGTTTAGCAAATTTCAATAATTATATCTTGAAGCTGAGTGATGCTCTCTTCATTTAGACGTTCGAAGACAATGACAGCCGTTTGATATCACCTTGGAACGAAGACAGCTACAACACAACTTGTGAAGCTAGAGAGAAAATGGACCAGGGTTATGTTACCATCGAAAAACATTTTAAGCTTATGGAATTTACTAAAAAATTGAGAACTTGTATGCTCCTTAAAATTGAATAAAAAGCACGAAGAAAAAAGACATTTCATTGCCTCGCCCCGGACATCTTATCCGGCCCCAAGCAACACACCGACAGGAGGACAAGGTTCTACACAATTGTTACGGGCTACTGTCACTTGTCGGTATGACGAGCGAGAAAAATGTGCAAATTTGGTGCCTTTAAATACGTCGAAAGCTTCTACGACTGCTTGACGAAATGCTTGAGAAAAACAAGGTGGCCAACCGAAAGCTATTTATAACTCAGCTGTATCGAGCGAACGAGTATATCCAATAAAAAAAGACTCAATAGACAAGGCAAAATCGTCCTTGATTACGATAATAATCTAGGTAACTCAAGGCAGAAACTGTACGAGCTGCTCGCGAAGATTTTCTCCCTTTTATTAACCACTTGATTTATTGGTTCTTGCTAGAAACTTCTAGGTCTAGTGTTGAAGAATTTTGAGACTATCTTTACTGCCAAATGTGCAGTCAGTAATTTTATTTACCAATGATCGGAAGAGGTAATGTTATATGATCTAAGCTGTAAGCAAATAAGTTAATCATTCAACAAGGCTTACGGGAAAATACTTTTCATTTACTGTTAGGTTAGGCAGCATGAGGTAGGATCCATTAAGGCACGATATGCCCACATATTACGATATGCCCATTATGGAGTTCTGCTCCGCAGTGTGAAGCCAGATTTTGAATGCACTAATGGCTGGCAGATCCGCGAGGTAAATTTGGCTTGAAAAAAAGGGAGATAAATAGTAGCAATATGCCTATTGTTATCCAAAGCACACATGATAAAGTCTTTATGGCTAACATGGACATGCATGATTCTAGTACAAAGATCGGTAACAAATTCTCATTCATAACTGCGATTATCCGCTATGTGGATATACGTCGACAGCATTGTTTTTTTTTCATGATCCCGTTTTACATGTGACGGAAATTCAGTGGTTAGAACTCTAATCAAAAATTGTAATAATCATTGTCAGCATCGTTAAAATACATAGGATTAAGCTCAGATGAGTGGGGAATATTAGCTGTACAAATTAACCTGTAAAATGTTTTTCTAATGTAACGAAAACGTCGTCATATGATAGAAGCTGAGGGAGGCAACATTTATCACACGCAGATATTTAATTCAGGTACCGAGCTATCTTCGACTAAGCTTGACAATGTGTGAGAGATATATATATATATATATATGTATAATATATATATATATATATATAGAGAGAGAGAGAGAGAGAGAGAGAGAGAGAGAGGAGAGCAAAAGAGAGAAAAAAACAGGGCGAACTTCAAAGTTAATCGATGCGCACATTTTAATCAAAATTCTTCTTATCAGGGGCTTAACGAAGAAATATAACGCGAGTGAATGCACGAAATATTCACAAAGACTTCAAGTGTACATCAGAAATCCCAAGAACCCGACAAATGCCCTTTGAGGACAATAAAAGTACGAAATTTGACAGATGTTACTTGTAACTCATTTTGCTTTAGAAATGAAACAGCAGGTCATCTTTGCCTAAAGCCTCTCTGACGACAAATTTTTCATCTAAAAGGGAACCGCAGAAATAATCGTTAGTCTGCTCACGATCTGGAGGATGTGTCTGTTGAACGTAAAAGAATTCATATTCTTAGCGCGATGTCCAGCGAAGATTTCACGCCACGACATTTCTTTCAGGTAGGTGAACGCATCTCTAAAGACATTACTTTGCCTTACGATTGCATTTTTTCATGTTTTACTGCATCTCAAGACCCGTTATGAAACCGTGGATAACTGAAATATCTGAAGACCATTGGCTTCTACAAGCCGATTCGTGGAGAATTGGATGGCTAACATTTACCTTGTGAAATTTTAACAGTGGCTAGCGATAAATAGAAAATGATCAGCACCGGGAAAATTTTAGCGCAGGAAGCGTTGCTACAGGTATACGCTGTGATACCACGTAAACCAATACTGTCAATCAGTATTACTGGCGTAGAACCCACTAGGGGCGACGTGAAATTGATTTAATTCACTATTTACCTCTATTGTTTTACCCAGTCTTTGTTAATACTGAAACTGTCTATCATCAATACCCCTGAAGTAAAATAATATATTTCCTAATGGGAATCTTTTTTGACAAAAAAAAGGCGAGCACCTCTTCCTACTGATGATTTCGCCCATATACACAAACTACTCTTGATCCGACTTGGATTGAAATTGGGTTATTCGTTAACGATATTTCGGCAGCCGGCTAGCTCCAGCCATCGCACAGCAACAACTTAAAAATCAATATGAA